CACAGGCCGGTCCCCAGGTGGCCCTGCGATCACACATTTGATGTCACTGGGTTAGCTAATTGCATCTAAAAGGTGTCCCATAAAGGCACTTTGCTGAAAGCACGGAGACAGGCTCCTTTTGATGCGCTGCAATAAATGAACAGAGTTGCAGCTCTCAGGAGATTAAAGGAAGCCTGAGAAGAGCTGAATAAACCATGTCACTGCAGGTGAGATCTAGATAATAGGAGCCATGAAGTTTCCTAACTTTCCCAAGACCGTACTAATTCTTAAATTTGTCAGGAGGTGTAAAGTGGTTTGAATAGAATATTACTGTCCAATAGAGAAAAGAGTGGGATTCATGTAATTACATATTTAGCAGAGAAACTTTATCTGGCTTTTATCGTGTAAAAACTGAGGACTTGAATACATTTTAGGGACATTACTCAAGCTTTACAACTTCTCTAGCTTATAGCAGTGACTCCATTTTGCCAAAAACACAGCGAGAAAGAGGAGTCTGTTTTTAAGGAGCAGCCTCTTGCTTACTGGATTTTTTAACTGAAAGCTCAAAACCTAATAAAACCTTAAATAAAAATGATGTGCTAGAACTGGAAAGCTTCACCAAACATGCAGTTATTTGGGTAACTGTGAGCTGGCCTTTAACTACATAATATTTGGCAACTTCTGCACCTTTCCTAGAGAGCCCAATGTCACAAAGCGCTGTCACGGGGAGACAAATAACAGCAAAACAAGCATCGTGTTAATCCTGCCCTGATATATACACGTAGCATTCATTAAGCCTAATGAAAAGCACAGGCACAAGGATTGACCTGAGCGTGTCCTCTGGGCAGGCTCACGCGGTGACGTTTAACTTTAGCAACATACCCAACTTTTAATACCGCGGAGACCTGAACATCGTGACAGAGGAAGCCAGAGTCTTTTCTGGCTCATGCATGAATAACAAAGCCACCTGCTATATTCCAGCGGTGGATGCTTTATTGTTAGTGATGATGCATGAGGCAGAAATAATGCAGTTTGATTTTTAGAGACAATACCAAGTTGAGCTTGCAAGGCTGTCAGTTAGCCCACACTCGTTCGACTTGGGAACTGAGCAAACAACATGGAAGTAATTGATGGAAACTAATGACACAATAAAATGTCATTTTTCTGACCTACTTTGCTTAAAGTAAATCCCCATTAATTGTAATTATCTGTGCTGGTAACGGAGCACTCCACGTACACCAGACGCTCAGTTGGATCCCCCAGTTATTGAAATGAGCCAGTTCCAGATTTACACTACGCTGATTCTGGCTTACATACCTCTCTATATATAGTGTTTGTTCCCCTGATCTGAATAAATGCCTGGAAGATGGAAGACCACACAGCTCAATTACTGTATTGATCGGGACAAAAAAAGCCTTTAACCAACCGGCACACGAAGGGCACGATTCCATGCTGTGGTTTGCTGGGTGCTGCTGGAGCACCAGTCATGCCTCCCCTTCCTGGTGTCTCGGCGCTGCTTCTGAAAAGCATAAAATGCAGACAGAAAGTAGAGGGTTTAGATCAGCTTTGACTGAATCAAGAGAAAACTCCTTGCTAAATATGTTTTATAAGTACTTGCAGATCTAAAGGTTATCCAGAGTTCCCTCAAACCTCTGGACACGAGTGCCTCAAGGTGATGGAAGTGTGGGTCGCCACGAAGCACCGAGAAAAGCTTTTCCTTCTCGAACACATGAGTAAAGAGAGACATCAACATGGGTGTGATTGACACTCACCACTTCCAAAAAAAAGCCTAAAACATAAAAATACATAATGTTGGCTAATAAAAGAAACAAGCTCTGACTAATGGCTCCTTTTGCTCTCCGTGAGGGCCATAAAAGAGCTTGGTTGAAGGGGCAGAGCATCTTTCCTACACCCTTGGCCAAAACGACCATCCAGCGGTGGCTGCAGGTAGCGGGGACACGAGGGGGTTGTGGGGTGCTTTGGGCACGGCCGTGGTTCTGCTGCGTACGAAGTGGGTGAGAAAGAGCTGGAGAACATCATGGGATGATCAGAAATTAAGATGTAAAGCGGTGGAGATATCACTTCTGGCCACCCACGGAGTCATGTAGCCATGACTCATCGCCTGATGCAGGAAGGAGCGGAGTGTACCACGCATCAAAATGGACAAGATCTTTCCAAGGACAGACGCTTTGGGCTGGAAAACCTTTCAAGGTCCTTCATACCAACTGTTTGTTGTTTCATGCTGGCATGCAATTCCCTTGTAAAATTAAGAAACTACGTGTTAAAACCAGCTAGGGATTTTATTTTTAACCCCCTCTCTCTGTTGCTCCTACTGGAAGGATCTTCCAGTTTCTAGACTAAATATATTCACGGTCAGTTCCTACTCATTTACTCTTCTGCTGCTACCCTTCAGTGTCACAGCACCTTTCCCTTCGCTTGCATTCACTTTCCAGGATGTATTTACAGGCAGAAAACATTCCCTTCCCATTCTCATTTTTTTTTGCTAAATGAAACAAACCAAATTCTTTCAGTCCCCAGCAGAAGGAAAGCCCTGATCTCAGGACAACTCCCGGCTCCTCCCTGCACGTGCTTCAGCCTGGATTCACCCTTCTTGGACACAGGTGGCCACAACTGCATCGAGAAATTCAGAGGCAGCCTCGACAGCGTATTACCTCATGTCACATATTGCCCAAGCAACTGCTTTTCTCATTTAGCGTGCCAACGCTACGATCCCAAACTGCTGTCTTCTCCCACCCGTATGTCTCATCGCACAAGTTTGGGCTGTTTTTGTATCAAAACAGATGAGTCTTCCGTCCCTTCATTGGTTCACAGCACGCCGCGTGCACCTACACTTCTATTTAAATAATAAGAGCAAATAGTTTCATTGCTTCTGTGCTGGCTTTTGTTATCGTCGCTGTTTTGTTTTCAAATCATATGTGGCAAATTTGCTACTTCGGAAAGTTGGCAGGAGTGAGGAACGCTTCCATTTATAGCTCATCGTACTGCAAAACAAAAGTTTGAGCTTAGTCCACGTGCCTGTCCCCCTAGCACAGAGGTGGCAGAGTCCTCAGTTCCTCGGCGCTGTGAGAATGAACGTACGTGTTTACAGCTCGGGTTTTACGGTGCCAAACAGGAGAGTGTTTTTTTTTGTTGTTGTATATATCTAATCATATGTGTCTTAAGCCCGTGTATTCATCTGGCTTGAGCTAAGGGCTGGCGCTCCTCTCATTTCTTTCCGTATTGATATTTCACGCCAGCTACATGCCACAGCTTAAGTCAGCAGAAAATAAGGGCCGAGCCGCAATGTTTGAATTCAGCGTCACGGGGGCTGCGGGGTCATGTCCTCGCCGATCCCATTATATCCGTAATACGAGTTTGCTCCCTTTGAAGAACTTTGGGCTGGAGCTGCAGGCGGTGCAAATGACTTTGATTCGGCCACATGCAGACGAGCATCAGAGGGCTGTCCTCTGGACAATGCGCCAAGCTTTGCTTTCCACTTCCTTTCTTCTGTTCCCCTGCTACAGGAGGATCCAACTGTTTCAAGACCTGTTTCAAGTCCCTTTCAGGACTTCGTGAAACTTTTGAACTCCTTAGGAATCACTTGGAAAGGCCAAATACGTCCTTCCCAGACAGGTTATTTAATATTCGCAAGTCCTCTCACTCTTTGCAAAATTCATTTATTTTTTTTTTCTTTCCTTGCTGGAAAAAGCATTTTTATCTGCACATTTGCATCTTTCTACCTTTTTTTTTTTTTTTTCCCTCAGTTGAAAATCAGACTCTGCAAAGAAGCAGCTTTGGCAAGTTCTGGAGCCCTGAATCTATCAGCCCTGAACCTGTTAGCCCTGATGTTTTACCACGATTAAACAAAAATCAAACACAGAGAAAGAGGCAGGAGAGCCCACAGGAGAGTGAAAGAGCTGGAGAAGGAGCATCAGGAAGGAGCGTGCTTACTGAATGGGAAAAATAAATCAGCAGAGAGATGATAACCTACAGAGGACAGCACAAGACAGCACAGAGGAGATGGATGCAGTGAACAAATGTAAACGGGTAGAGAGGGAACCAAGTGTGGAAGGACCTGGATGTGTTTTCCCAGCCTGCCAGCAGCTCCTTGGCCAAACCACCGGCTTCGGGGTGCTGCTGAGCCCCTGGCAGACCCCAAAAACCAGAGCTCACCTGCAGTTTGTACCCTGCAGCAGGGACCTGGGGCTGTGAGGGGGACCCAGATGGTTTGCCTGACCCCATAAGAGCAGGGTGTGCAAATAAGTGTTCCTAAAAGGGGGAAGAGAGCAAAGGACAAGCACTTGGGTGAAGTGGGATAATGATGTGTGGGGTGTGGGGGGGTCCCAGTGGGTTTGCCTGACCTGGTAAGGACAGGGTGTGAAATTAAGTGTCCCACAAAAGAGGGAAGAGAGCAAGGGACCAGGACTTTGTGAAGTGGGATAATGATGTGTGGGGTGTAGGGGTGGACACAGTGGGTTTACCTGACCCTGTAAGAACAGGGGGGGCGAGCAAGTGTCCCCCAAAAGGGGTAAGAGAGCAAGGGACAAGCACTTGGGTGAAGTGTGGCACTGATGTGCGGGCTGTGGGGGGGGACACAGTGACATTGCCTGACCCCGTAAGGACAGGGCGTGCAATCCGCATCCCCCAAAAGGGATGTCAGAGAGCGAGCCACCACATCACGGGGCTGTAGGGACACCGAGGGGGGGGGCTCCCTACAGCCCCCAACTCCCCACCACAGCGAGAGGGAATGAGGCAGGGAGTGAGGGAAGCTTCGCCTCAGCCCGGCGCTGCCCCGCTCGGTCGCTAGGCGGCCCGGGCCGGGCTGCTGTGGGGCTGGGGAAGCGCCACCCCCGGAAGCAGCGGGCGGGCAAGGAGGGGAGGCAGGAGGAGAAGGAGGAGGAGGAGGGGGGGAGGCAGGCGGCAGGCGGGCTGGGGGGGCTCCGGCAAGCGGGGACGGGGGGGGCCGAGCGAGGCAGCGCGCCCGGCGAAGGGGCCGGGGACGCGGCGGAGGCTGCGAGAAGATGGCGGCCAAGTCGGATGGCGGCGGCGGCGGTGGCGGTGGCGGTGGGGGAGGCTTCGCCCAGCTGCACAACCTGGACGAGGCGTCCGCGGCGGGCGTCGGGGCGGCGCCGGGGGAAGGAGCGGAGGAGCCGGGCGGCAGCAGCTCCCTGCACATCTGCCACTGCTGCAACACGTCGTCGTGCTACTGGGGCTGCCGGAGCGCCTGCCTGCGGAATCTCTTCGGCAGGGCGGCTGCTACCGCTGTTACCACCGCCGGCGCCGGCACCGCCGAGCCGCTGGCCCCGCGCCCCGCCGACGAGGGGCCGCCGCGGGCTGCGGAGGTCGGCGGGGCGGGCGAGCGGCCGTGGCTGGACTGCCTGTGGATCGTGCTGGCGCTGCTGGTGCTGCTGGGGGACGTGGGCACGGACCTGTGGCTGGCGCTGCACCACTACGGCCGGCGGGACTACGTCTGGTGCGGCCTGACGCTGGCCTTCGTGCTCCTGCCCTCGGTGCTGGTGCAGATCCTCAGCTTTCGCTGGTTCGTGCAGGACTACACGGGCGGAGGGCTGGGGGCCGTGCAGGGGCTCAGCAGCCGCGGGCCGCCCATGATGGGGGCCGCCGGCCGCCGGGGGGGACCCGCCGGAGGGGTAGGAGGAGCCGGCGGCACCGCCACCCCCGGGGCGCAGCGCCTCTGCAGGATCTCCGTCTGGGTCTGGCAGTCCGTCATCCACCTGCTGCAGATGGGACAGGTCTGGAGGTAAGGGGGAGACAGCCCTCGGTTGTGGGGAGACCGCTCCGGTTGTGGGGAGACTCCCCTGGTTATGGGGAGATCACCCTAGTTAGGGGGAGACCCCCCCGGTTAATGGGGAGACCCCCCCCGGTTATGGGGAGACAGCCCCTGGTTAGGGGGAGATCGCCCCCGGTTAAGGGGGGACCCCCTCGATTATGGGGAGACAGCCCCTGGTAATGGGGAGACCCCTTTGGTTATGGGAGACCCCCCCCCGGTTGTGGGGAGACCCCCCTCGGTTATGGGGAGAACCCCCCCGGTTATGGGGAGACCCTCTCGATTATGGGGAGACCCCCTCTGGTTATGGGGAGGCTGCCCCCAGGGGGATGCAGAGGGAGGGGAGGTGGTGGTAGGCATCTGTAGGGTGGGGGGTGGGAGATCTGGGGTGCCTGTACCCCCCGGTGTAATGTGGGGTGGTGTCTGCTGGGTGTCACTGAGCTGCACGGTGCAGCCGGGATGTGGGGTTTTTGGGGAGATGAGGGGCACAGCCACCTCGTGGTTTAATGGGGGCGTGGGGCAGTGGCACCTCGTGGTCCCATCCGGACCCTCATCTCTTGGGGAGATGAGGGTCAGCACCACCTCATGGTCTAATGGGGACGTGGGTCAGCGTCACCTTATGGGCCAACCTGGACATGGGGCAGTGTCTTTTGGGGAAATGGGATCACTGCCACCTCACAGTCTGTGGTATAGACGAGGGTCACTGTCCCTTGGCTGAGGTGGGTCTGTGGGTGCTGCTATCTCCTCATGGTCTGAGGTGGACGTGGGTCAGTGTTACCTTGTAGGTCCAAGGTGGATGTGGTCAGTGCCCCCTATGTGGAGAAAGAGGGGTTTCTGCCCCATAGGGTGAGTGGAGATGCCCCTGCAATGGGTCTGTGGGGCTGAGGTGGGAGAAACAGGAGTCACTGTCACCTCATGGCCTGGCAGGGGGCACGGCTCGGTGGACATGGGGCAGTGCTCCCCTGGCTGGAGGAGGTGTGGGGGCCCTGCTTTTACTGAGGGGATGCTCAAAAGGAAGAAAAATCCCCTTAAAATGTGTCCGTGGGGCTAAGATGGTTGGGACTGGGGTTTGCTGTCGCCACATGGTCTGAGCTGGACGTGGGTCAGTGCCCCTCACGTGTGGGATGAGGGGAGGTTTGGGGTCACCCCCGCCTATCTGAGGAGAGATTTCCCCCAAAATGAGTCTGTGGGGTGGCTGAACGTGGGCTGCTGTCCCCTCGTGGCAGGGGGACCCCCCAAAAATACGGAGGGTTGAAGGGGGTCCTTGCTCCTCGGGGTTGTAAACGGTGCCTCAGGGGTGGGCTCTTGCTGCCCTATGGGGCTGGGGCAGGACTTGGGGGGTAAATATGGGGCTGCTCTCCCCTACAGGTGCTGTGGGGGACGCTGACACCTTTCCTGGTGCCAGCATGGATGTAGGCCCGGGGGTGACCCCAACGAGGGTCGCATCCGTACCCCACAAGCTTCACCCCACACAGAGGGGGACCCTCACAGCTCACCCCCATTCCCTGAAGAGAAACGCAGCGTGAAGCCTCGGCCCTGCTGAGGGGATGGAGGAAACCTTCTCCCCGACTGGGGTTGTGGGGACATTTTTCGGGTTGCCAGCGCCGGGCTGAAGGTCAGAGACGGGGACTGCTCCCCCGGAGAGGCCCTGGGGCAGAGGAGCTGCTGCTGAGGGGACGGGGCTGAGGGGGGACATCTATAGGGTCAGGGGGAATCGAAGGACATCCCCCAACCCGAGCTGCCGGCCTGCGTTATCCCCTCTGAAAAAAAGGTTTAAGAGGAGAGGCAGGGAGGGATTCTCCGGGATGAAAGCCCGGAGATACAACCGCCTGCACAGCCGCCCGGCATTTCTGCGGAAAGGGGTGGTGTAAGGACAGCCGTAAAGACCCGGCGTGGCCCGGCGTCCTCCAGGAGGGGACGTGGGGTAAGAAGATGGAAGGAGAAGGAGGTTTGGGGTGGTGGAGACCATAGAGAAGGCTCCGGGGTGGTGGCATTGGGGTGCTGCACGTGCCCTCCCACCCCACACACATATATATAGGGAGGTTGGAGGGATGGGGGCTGGTTGTGGGGCTTGGTGGCTTTTAAAATAAAATACAGGCAGAAGATGCTGGATTTTTTTTTTTGAAGCACTTCACGATGAGGCAGCGGAGGGGCTTTGCAGGGAGGGGGGGTAACATCCCCGCATCGGCATCTCCAACCCGAACAAACGGGGCAAAAAATCACCCCGACGGGTGGCCGGGAGGAATTCATCATCGGGGTCTGGGTGAGAGGAGAGGGGAAGGGGGAAAGCAGAAGGCGATGATTGATGGGGAAGTCCTTTATTTTATTATTTTTTTCTCTCTTTTTTTTTTTTTCTTTTTCCATCTGGCTAGCGGAAGGGGTTAAGCCTGCTGCCTAATGAAATCAGTGGAGAAGTGGCTGGAGTTAAGATGGAGACAGCACGCCGGAGCCTGGGGGAGGAGGGCTGCGTGGGTGGAGGCAGGGGAGGGCCTTGACACCTCTTCTGAGGACACCGCTCTTGAGATAAAATGAATATACCCATCAAAGATTTCTTTTTTTTTATTATTAGTATTATTTTATTTATTTATTTATTTTATTTTCCAAAGAACTGAGGGGGCGGAGGGGCGGGGATGCTGCGTGGGGAGGGCGCGGGAAATGTATACCTGGGGGATCAGCCCCTGGAGCCGCGCACGTATTCCTTCTGCATCTTCAATGTCATTCGTGTAACGCTCACCACACGTTCATGTGCTCGACTTCTGCATTGTGTTGGGGGGGATATTTTATTTCATTTTGGCCAGGGGATGCTGAGAGGGGGGTGTGTGGATGTGCGTGAGGGTGATGAATTGGTGCGCTGACCCCTTCTCCTGCTGTCCCTACTGCTCCCAAGCGCTGATCCCATCAGCAAAAGCAATCCAGCGACGCAGAGGCACCTCTGGCAAGTTGGATTTCTCCCCTCCTGGAGCCAGGAGGAAGAAATGATTATGTATTAGCCGCGGTGTGAGCCTGCATTGGCAAAAACATCCCCCGGCACGCTCGAGTGAGCGGGTGGGGAGGGGGAAACCGAAGCGGCGCCTGGCAGAGGGGGAATTTGGGGGGGGGGAATACGAAGGACCCAGGCTCAAATTACCCAGGCTTTTTGTCAATGCAGAGAAAAAATATTCGCTTCTGAGATGGTGCGGGGCTGGGACTGCCAAAAGGGACTGGAAAGGAGCTCTGCAGAGCAAACCACGCTAGGTAAAACGAGGGAGCTTCCTCTCCTGTTGATCGCCAACCTCCCTAGCGCACGGCTCTGGCTTTTTAGGGCATGCCGAGCAGGGCGAGCAGCATGAAGCTGCCTCCCAGCACCCGACCGAAGCCGGAATAACTTCCCGATGTCTGTGAGCTTGCCTCCACGACGGCATCTTCTCCCATCCCCACTCTAGCCATTGCGAGTGCTGTTACAATTAATCTGGGACGCGGTGATGGGACTCATGGCTAAATCTCTTCGTGCTGGTAAGACTCTGACAACGTGGGGATGGAGGGGGAAGACCCAGAAGGATGAAAGTTCAGCTCGTCGTGCACCCAGCCTGCTTTCCTGCATGAGAACGGCACCGTGCTGCGGCTGCACGGGGCGTGATGAGGGCTGTCCTCAGTTCCCCTGCCCAGGGAGTGAGCGCTGGGGCTTAGTGGGAGTACTGGGCGGATATTTCGGGTTTCTTGCCTTGGTTTTTTTTTTTTTTTTGCTCAGCCGAGAGCCTGAGGCTGTGTTAGTGCTGCCCACCTACAGCGGCTGCTGGAAAGAAAGTACACAGACGTGGTGAAAGCGCGCGCGCGTGTGTACACACGTGGGCACACCGAGATTTTAATTGATGCTTGGAGTGCCACGATCCCAAATTACCTTCCCACTGGTACCCGGGGGATTTTTCCCTCACAGATCTCCTGTTTTCACCTTTCATCTCAATCCCTGAGCTTACCTCGAGGACTTCAAGCAAGCAGAGGTCGCTCATTTTGCGAGGGGTGTTTGTGACAGTCCTGCACCCGATGCACCTTTCTTGAACCTTTTTATCCTGGTCAGTGGGTCATGGTTGCTGTCGAGGAGCAGAGGGATTGAAGCACAATCCTTGGCATTGCTATTAAAAAAAAAACATCATTGAATTCCATTGGATTAAGCGTGTGGGGGCTGAGCTGACACGAGCTCGCCCGAAAATCTCGCCGTGTCTGGTAGCTGGCAGCGATGGTAAGGTTCGTGACTCGAGTGCAAGATATTTATGGGTTTTGGTGTTAAATTTGGTCCGAATACATATTTAGAAGAAAAACTGTGCTAAAAAGAAAAAAAAGAACACGCTCCAGTCACTGTTTTGACATTAAATCGCCGTGTGTGTGTGTTTAAGGGAAAAAAATTCCTAAAGTTTCAGCGATGGCTTGCCATCTTGTTTATTAGTGGAAAGACCAAATCTCTGACTTGTTCCTCGTTCGGCGTGCCCGGAGGTGGAAGGATGAATCGATGGCTTTAAAAGGAAGACGTGGTATTTAATGACTGCGCGATGAGTGGGTTCGGGCTTTACTAAAATACTTTGCTCTGGGATGAACTGGGAGCTGGGTATCTGCAAATTGAGCTGATTTAGAAACCGACAGCTACAACTCCTGAAACGCCAGCCCAAATCCCCTGGCAGGGGGGGCCAGCAGCGTGTCAGAAGGCCAAGCTGCTGCCCTGACACCCCCTCGCTATCTTGCTTTGGGATGTTCAACCCCACAGGGCCTTGCTGTGATTTTCCTGCCTGCCCTGGCACTCCTGAATGTGGTTTATTTTTATTTTTTTTTTCAGCTTTCTCTGGTTAGCTTGTCTGGCAGCTCAGTTTTTCCCCTTCGCCAAGTTTTAACAGCTTGCTCTGAGAGTACGGAGTTTTGTCAGCTTTCGACAAGTTGGCAGAGGGAGGACGTGCTGGGATGGATGCTTAAATGTGCTCTCCCTCCAATATCATGTCTGGGGCATAAGATTTTTACCCAACTTCTCCTCCCCTGTCCCAATTTTGAAGGGTTTTCTGCAGGATCTCCGTCAGAGCTGGGCTGCCTAAATTAAAACACGCCAAGGATGGCGCACCTAAAGCACAGGTAGGGGAGTTTGTGGGGGCGAATACTCATCCCAAATCATGATACCGGCAACAAAAGAGGCTTTCTCACTTGGGTAGGGTCTTTATTGGTTTTGGGGTGGTGGCGAGGCTCCGTGTCTTGTGGAGTGCTACCCACTAGAGGGGGTCAAACCACAGATGTTGGAGCAGCTCTGCTGCGCCAGCCTGGGGAGGGCAGAGTTTGCCTCCAAGCCTTCTTCTCTTTGGGCTCTGCCCCGACCTGCTGGGAGCTCCCCGTCCAGGTACTTGGGCTGTTCTGTGTCACAGCAGGGTGTGTGGGGGGTAAGAGGGGCAGGATTGGGGGCAGAAAGTGGATTTCAGCTGTGTTTTGAGGAAGGTAGACTGTGGCGCTCCGTTGGCGAGGTGTTGGCGCGGCGGTGAGGGCTCATTGCTTCCCCACCAGGCTACGTGGGGATGTAGGAATGCTTTGGGGCCCTGATCTTCTTCCTGAGGGAGCCAGCATAATAATTCCTCATCTTTAGGGGCCAGGACAGTGGCATGAGGCACTTCTGAGAGCCCAGGAGTCTGAAATCTACTCCAAAAATCATCCTCTTGGGAGCGGGCTGGCACCCCGCTTCCCTAAACCCTTGGACCCCAGCATCCCTTTTCTGGTTGCTCCATGCCGAGCTCTAGGGCAGAGAATTGTGCCTTTTTTTACCCTTTTTTTTTTCCACGTTCCCTACAGTTTTATTTCTAACCCCAGTGGGATCAGAGGCAGAGGGGAGGCAGGGTGCGAAGGGCAGGGGGAGAGGCAGCTTCTTTGCATGCCGAAACATTCGCCCCTCTGTCTTCCACCTTTCTAGACACTTCCATTTTGCTGCGAGCTGCACGGAGCTGCTTTTATTCCTTGCGGTGGTTCTCCTTCTCGGTGTAAATGTAGGTTATTCAGGGAGCATTTCCTTTAATGAAAAGGACGGAGGAAGAACTGATGGTGATAAAGCAGCTCCGTGGAGGAGAGCTGCTCCGGCTGCCTCCAGACCGCGAGGGAAAGAAATTGGACGTCGAATGTGCAATTTTCCTCGGGGAGCGAAGGGAGCCCACGGAGAAGTCTGGATCCCTCAGAGAACTTCTCCCTGTGCTTCATTTCCCTCGAATCCTGACTCCTGACTTGATTTTTAGCACCTTGCTGCTTTGGAAGCCGGTACTATAAGGCTGTGACACCCGCGAGCCTTTACGCAGGAGGAAACTGAATCGGAGAAATGCTTTGTTATCAACCAGAGCTCAAATTAAATTGGAATTAAAGCTACAAGCAAAAAAAAACAAAACAGCAAATGCTGTGACTTCGTTGACCCATGGCTTCTGATGATGGGACTCGGACCTGCTACGGCTCCGGTAGGGCACTGAGGTGCTTTTCCCAAGCCAGACCCCGAGGAAATGGGGACAGGGCTGGGGTTGGCCCATGAAATATTCACAATCTGTCCTTAGGTGACTCCGGGGGCATGGAGGATCTCTCGCAGAACCGGCAGAGCTCTGGCACCTTTGTCACCTTTTTAGTGAAGCCTGGAGAAAAAACAAATCTCCCCAAAGAAGCAGCGTGGTGTGGCCGGCAGCTGGAGCATCCCTCAGCCAGCAATGGGGTCTCAGTGGGGTTTCTGCGGGGCAGGAGGGCACGGAGGGTGCTGGAGGAGCACCCATCCCCTAAAAGGGGTGGCAGACAGCCCTGCCAGCGTGCACAGCACTCCAGTGTCGGGAGAAATGTCCTTTTCTTCAGTTTCTGATGTTAAAAAAAGAGCAGTTTAACCCTTTGTGCTCATTTCCCCTGCTCGAACGAGGAGCCCCGCGTGAGAGGGCTGCCAGGAAGGCATCGCCAGCCGCAGAAAGACAGCAGCAAAGCACCGGGAGCGGCTTGGAGTTTGGGGTTGGAATTCATCCCAGTTCTGTCTCAGCAAAGAAGGGGGGGGTGAAAAAAAATGAGCAACGGAGGCCGATGCTGTTGAAGTGAAAATTGTAAAGAGTGGTATAAGCAGAAGGCATTTAAATAATGTAAACAGTCTGGCAGGGGAGGAAAGGATGGGAGGCATTCCAGAAACAAAGGGAAAAGAGTTTTTTTTTTTTTTTTTTTTTTTTTAAAGAAAAAAACAGGACTAAAAATACACCGAGCCTTGAATTCCAGAGATTATCTCAATTAGGGCTTTTTCAATGTATCTTTACAACGGAATTGGAGGAGTTCACAAAAGATAATAGAGGCTACGTGATAGGGAGCGGCGATATTAATTTGTTTAATTAAAGGGATGAAGGGCTCCCGAACAGCAGATTCACTTATCTCGTGGCGCGGGGAGGAACGGGGCTGTGCTGGGCAAGCTGCAGCCTGGTGGAGAGGAGGAGGAGGAGACCAAAATCCCCCTCCTGCAGCACGGGTGGCTGGATGGAAATCCCTTCAGGTGGGGTTCAGGTGCTCTGAGAGCCAAAGGGCATGATTTTACATTCCCATGAGGATTTTATGTGACGTTCAGGGAGCCGAAATCGGGCGTTTTCCTCCAAGAATAATTAAAAAAATCAGATCTGAAGGCTGCGTGGTGCAGGCAACGCGCTTTTAAGGACGCATCAGCACACACAGAGCTGTGCTCGATGCCTTCCTTCACCTTGGAGCTGTGCTGGCACCTCTCCGAAGTTGTGGCCAGTCTCAGCACAACCCTTGGCATGGGGGAGAGGGGGCTGCAGATCCGCAGATCCGAATTAAATTCCCCCTCCTGGATGTATATTAAAAATATTAAGCAGCACCGAGCTCCGTCGCCCGGCTCAGCGATCTTTGGAGGCGCTTCCTGGCTTTTAACGGAGGGATAAAACAGAACCTGCAATTAGGGTAATTTTTCCTAATTGAATATTTTGCTTTCTTCGCTCCCTTTCAGAGCGTGACGGTAAGTACCAGCCTGCCTAAAGCTTTGGAAATATTTACACTCCCCCTTTCTGGCGGCGGGTGCAAACACGCTTGTTCTCGGGCAGCCCATCTCAGTCCCTCGTGAACAACTTGGGAAGGAGGTGGGCAAAAAACCTTTTAACCTCTTCACTGTTATTTCTAGGCAGCGTGGTTCGTTTCCCAAGATTAATTAGGGGTGGAAATCATTGGGAACGGCGTGGGCCGGTGGCTCTCCAAGCGCCGGCTGCAGGTCGAGGTGGAAACTCTCTTTGGGGAAAGGAAGTTTTCCCCTTACTTGGGGTTAATTTTTATCTATTCGCTTTATTTATTCGCTTTGGTGTGAATACTTCAGCCCAGGTGAGTGATGGAGGGTGGAGAAATGCCTCGCTGTGTCCATCCAGCAGGGACCCAAACCCTCGTGTCCCCTTGAACCCATCCCTTGATGGGACACGAGGCATTTCGTCACCCCTGCAGCTTTCTCAACCCTCTTTTGCTCTGCACTGGTCCCAGTCTGGTTAAACTGGGACCATCCTGGGCACGTGGGACCAGCAGCGAGCCAGAAATCACCTCATGTCTTCACCCAGACCCAGCTGAACCTGGGTAAAAAGTTTTCTGTGGGGTTTATTTTTTGCTTTTGAAGCATGCCGAGCGCTCAGCTGCCGTCCTTTAAAACTCCTGAGAGCCTTTAAAGATAGCAGTTTAAAAATGAGTTGATTATTGGGTTTTCTTCAAAGCAGGATGTCAGGAGAAGCTACCTGAAGGCCCAGAGGCTCGACCTAAAAATGTGCCAGGTATTTGGGATTAAAAGTAATTGTAGGTACTCACCGTAATTGGATGGATGCAGCCCGGACCGGAGGTGGCCGTCGCAATTTTGCAAAACTTGGGGTTGAAAAAAACTGGCATTAAACATCATTTGATGCTCGCCATGAGCCACCAAGTTTTGCTCTTCGTGCTTCTTGGGAAAGGACCAATTCTTGAGCCGTACGGGCAAATTATTTCCGACCCTTCTCTTTTTCTTGTTGCTGTTAAATGGTGTTGGAGGAGGAAAGACGCCACTGGAGCTGTCGGGAGCCGTGTAGCTAGAGCAGAGAGTTTGAATTCGGGCTTGGAGTTTAATTTCTGACGCTTTGCTGACTTCTCTGCCCAGGACCGGATTATTTTCCCTGTTCTTTCAGGGGATTAGGGGATTTGTAAACCAGCACTCCTAAGAAAGGCATCTAAAATAACAGGGAAGGGCACATCTCCTTTCATTTGCCTCAAGCAGATTGGATTTAAGGTTCTGGAAGTGGGAAATGTGCAGGAGCTGTTGGCTTTGGGGTCTGAACCTTTTCCCTTTGCCAAGGCAGCGTGGGTGCCTTTTGGGAAAAATGGAGAGGAAACGAGGGGAAATCAGCCTTTTTTATTTCGTAGGGGATTATTTCGCCTCGACATCGATTGGATGATGACGTACCGACTGCAAGTGCATCAGGTCGTCTCGTTTGCCACGTGGGAAATGGGGCTCAGTTCTACAGAAAGCAGGAAAAGCCCCCCGACTTCTTGAGAAGCCAGGCCGTAATTAGGGGCAGTGCTTCTAATTGGGATCAGGCGTTCAAGATCCAGCTCGTGAAGGGCCTTGGCCCCCTGATAATGTAGCTCCTGTTCCTTAATAAAGAATTCAGACTGGAAATTTTGCCTAGCGTTGACCCCTCCGATCAACCAGCAGCTCCTTGCCTTGGTAACACCTTCCGCTGGGTATAGGATTAATTGGTTGTGTGAGTTAATTGAAGACCAAACTTCATTAGGCTCCCATTATTGTTGCATTTGTATTCTTCCTGTCCTAAATCCTCAGTGAGAACATCTGGTAGTCACTCAAAATAGAAGCCTACATTGCAGGGAGCGACTTCACCATCGTAAAAACATGTTTTTTTTTTTCACTGACTGGGCTTAAGCAGCAGTCACCTTTAAAGAATTTCTTCTTCCAGGCCCTTTTCAGAGAGGCAACGTGTTGATGGGATCCCGAATGTGTCTGAATCCTCCCTGCAAGCTCGCGTGGCTCCGTCGTGAGCTGCGAAATCAGCGGTGTCCTCCCTTAGCGTTGCCTCTCTTCTCTTCGTTGCTCTCGCCCCGTTTTCCCTCTGCGTGAGCATCTTCAGGTGTTGCTTTGGAAGGTGTTGCTGTTTTCGCCAACGCAGGGTGAAATGTTTTATCCGATCTCTTTTTCTGTCCCCAAAACCCGGGATTTCAGTGTAATCTCTACGTTGAGTTGAAGCGCTCCCGATGGGCTTCAAAAGACAGTGTCTCGATGGCTTGGGCTCCTCTCAGTGCCAGAAGGGTAGAAAAGAGCAAGCGGCAACATTTTTATTTTATTTTTATTTTTGAGGTTTCTCATTTATTGTTTCTTTTGTGCAGATTTTGATGGATCGTGGAGAAATTTGGTAGGAGAGAGCCCGGCTGGCTCTGCCTGCCCTTGGAGCAGCTGGGCTCCATCCCACAGGTGGAAATTTCAAGTTTTTGGGGCTTGGGTACTTCCCTTTTGGCCTGATTTTCCCCCCTTAGCTAGTCCCAAGGCTGGTTTGGGTATCCAGCACTCAACCTTCCTGCTGGGGGCCTTAACATTAAGCCAAAACTGGGGGAATTTAATTCTACAGGTGATAAATGTGAAAAGAGCGAGAGGTGGAGAAGCTAACCTGGAGATTTCAGAACAAGGCATTCACTGCAGGAGAGGTCATTTGGGGTCGTGTTCCTACCACCAGTGAGGAATTAACTGAGAAGAGAGCAACGAAAGGAGAAGGTTCGTGATGGAAATGCAACTTAAAAGCCTGCCAGATTCAGGCTGGGTGTCCCGAAGCACACACGTTTCGGAGGAGCTGGGGACGACTGTGACAATTTTACCAGCCCAAACGTAAAACCTGCTCATGCATCCTCTGCTCGATGATTCTAATGATAATGCCGAAATGACTTGATTTGCCCATTAAAAGATATGTATTGCTCTTCCTAATCATACAAGTAGAGTTAGGAAAAGAGATCTCTGCCTTAAATTAGGCTGCGTCCCCAGCTCTGTGGATGAGCTATTATTTTCCTTCCTACACCATTTTCTTCCCCTATTGCTCCAGCGCCACCCAGACCCCATTAAGTGGGGCTGGCAATCAGGCCTGCAGGAGTAAATACATCAAAAACCTCTGGATGCAGTCAAAGAGAGCTTCTGGGGGCTGATGATCTCCTGCTTTGGTTTCCCCGGGGGCTCTGTTGCCTGCTAAGATCTCATCGCCTCGGGTCAGACCAGCGGGGTTATCTGAAGGAGGCCGTTTGCTACTCCATCCTTCCTGGCTCCGAGCAGGGTTTGCTTGCTCTGCGGGGGCCGTTCCTGGGGTGTTCGTGGTGCCTGGGGTGAATTGGAGAAATAATTCGGTGTCCTGAACGGGTCGGAGCTCCGGGTGCCGTGGTGCCGAGCTGCCTCTGCTCTGTAGGGTCTGCCCGAGTTAAAGGGAGAAACAGCAAAGCAGCAGCGGTGTCTGGTGGTGTTAGTGGAGATCCTGTTTGAGCATAAAGAGACTTTTTTATTAATTTAAAGCCTACCTTAAATTGAGAACAGAGTTTTTGCAGTTTTTCCCTTTGTGGATGAACTGAGGAGTGTCACTGCCAGGGCCAGCAAGAAATCCTGTGCGGGGTTTTTCCAAATTCACAAGGGCAGGAAGCCAAAAAAGCAATGAATTCAGCATCTTGTGAGCTTTCCACGCTCCCATGTTATAGGGCGGAGAACTCCAAGAGGCTCCAGCCTGATCATGTGCAGGCAGCATTGTTTTCGGGTCCAGACACCCGTGCTTTATATCATGCCAGAAGCTCGAAGCCCTCAGTGCCACGACATCTTCCCAGCTCTTCAGGGATCATCCTCAGTGCCCTCATCCCACCGCTGTGAGTTCACCTCTGAGCAGGTCTCAGAGCCTGCAGAGCCTTTTTTTAACTCCAGCAGGGCTTCAGGCCATGGACCGCGTATTCTTCAGGACGTGAGCAGGGTGGGATATTGATTATAATGCTTAGGGTGGTTATTTATCACCTTCATTAGCAGGGATGAGCCCGGCTCGCTGGATTCAGTTGTCCCAGAGACACCCAGATAGGAAATAATAAATAAACAATCGAAGATGGAGTTGGGGCGGGCGGTGGAAGGATCTAGCAGACAGCCTGCTTAAATTGATAATGGGCACGTTCGGTGTGGTTGTTGCCTTTC